GGGGGGGAGCGACTGTCCTGAGCAGGGAGAACAATAGCAGCTCGTCTGCTCCTGCAGAGAAAGCTGCCCGCCGGACTTGGAAGAGGTCACTGTCAGGCAGCACTGCTATGGGAGGAAGCCTGCGAGGCTTTGTAAAATAAGAGAATAAAGAATTCACCCGCATACACTCTCTTCCCAGTCCTGTTTCCCACAGAAGGGTGGGTACAGTCAAGGGTGAGGGCTGGGGGCAAGGCAGGGCAGGGTAGGGCAGGGTGGGGCCTGATGGTCCCTCTCCCCTTGTGCCCTAGGAGCAGCAGTATGCCCACTGGATGGCGGGCTGCAGACTGGCCTCTAAGGGGCGCACGATGGCGGACAGGAGCTACCCAAGCGAGGTGCAGGCCATCTTGGCCTTCCTCAGCCTCCAGCGGGCAGGCGGCGGCAGCGGGGGCTCTGGCAACCACACCCAGGGCCTCGATGCCACCGAGGCCCTCAACCCCTATGGCCTTGTTGCCCCCCGTTTCCAGCGCAAGTTCAAAGCCAAGCAGGCGAGTATGACCACAGCGTGGGCCTGGCTACCTGGCTTGGGGGTGTCTCCTGGGTCTGCCCAGGGGAAAGCATGGGCTCCCTCAGCCTGTCCCTGGTCTACCTGTGGCGGTCCACAGCAGACACAAGGCCTCTCTTGCTCAGACACCACACCCCACGTACCACGCACTGGGTGGGTCCAGGTCCAGGTGGCCATGCCTGTCTCCGCTCCCACCTGCTGTGGGCCCCACGGTGGTTCTGTCCTCCCCACCCCAAATCCTGGCCCCTGACTAGAGCAGGCAGGAGGGTCTCAGGGGCAAAACAGGAGAGGCCCTGACCAGGTGGCCCCACAGCTCACCCCGCGGATCCTGGAAGCCCACCAGAACGTAGCCCAGCTCTCGCTTTCCGAAGCCCAGCTGCGATTCATCCAGGCCTGGCAGTCGCTGCCCGACTTCGGTCTCTCCTATTTCGTGGTCAGGTACGGCGACCCCCACCTGGCCGGCTCGGCCCTCCCCTGTACCTGGGCAGCTCTGGGCCTGTGTCCCAGGAGTGAGTCCTGGGCAGGCAGCCACTGCCTGTTCCCCCAAAGCCCCTCCCCCTGTTCTCCGTGGACAGAACTCGCTGGGCGGGTCCCCAGGCCCCCTTCCACACGCCTCACCCCAACCCGAGAGACGGTGCTGGGGCCCGGAAGGAGATGCGACTCGGATCTGCTCTGCCGTGGCTGGTCCTCGCCGGGCCTCAGTTGGCCCGTCTGAGATCAGGGCTGCCGGGTTGGGTGCTGTACAGGCAGGCCTCCGGTCCTTTCCCTGCCTCCCACCCTGCTGAGCCAGGAGCCTGACTGACAAAGAGAACAACTACACAAAAAACCCAATTCACATTTAAAGGCATCAGAACCACATCCCTGGTGCTGTTCGGTCAGGCCCAGGGAGTCTGGTGACCTGCCCAGTGCCTCGGCGCTGGCAGGCCTGGTGCCAGGCTGCTCAGTCACACCCGCCCGCTCCCACCTCGTGGGTAGGTTCAAGGGCAGCAGGAAAGACGAGATCCTGGGTATCGCCAACAACCGGCTGATCCGCATCGACCTGGCCGTGGGCGACGTGGTCAAGACTTGGCGCTTCAGCAACATGCGCCAGTGGAACGTCAACTGGGACATCCGGCAGGTGGGCACGCCGCGGGCATGGGGCTGGAGCCGGGTAGGCGGGGCCTGGGTGGACCCTTACCCCTTGGGGCCCCGCCCACCCACAGGTGGCCATCGAGTTTGACGAGCACATCAACGTGGCCTTCGGCTGTGTGTCGGCCAGCTGCCGTACCGTGCACGAGTACATCGGGGGCTACATCTTCCTGTCGACGCGGGAGCGCGCTCGTGGGGAGGAGCTGGACGAGGACCTCTTCCTGCAGCTGACCGGGGGCCATGAGGCCTTCTAGGGCGGCCTCGCTGTCCCCGCCGCCCCCACTCACTGCTGCCCACTCGCCAACCACCTGCCCTGCCTGGGCTGGGCACGCTCACCTGCTTTCCCGTGGTCTGAGTGAGCCACACTGCCGCCACCTGGACTGAGGAGGGTCTGATGGTCAAGGCTACACCCATCGACCTGATTAGAGTCGCCGAGCACACAAGAAGAACCACATGTCCCGAGGGGGTGATGACCCATAGTTTCAAATCAGGACTCTTTTTTTTTTTTTTTCCTTTTTCTGATTTTATAAATAATTATTTTATTGCTGGACCGGCTTTCTTGCTCCAGGGCTGGGCTCGGGGTCACTCGGACAACCTGGCTCTTCATTGCCTGACAGGGGGAGGGCTCTTCCTGAAACAGAGAGGAAAGTCGGTTAGAGGGAGGGAGACCTATTACTGGGGTTCAAGATCCAGGGAGGGGGGTACTGCAGAAGAGGGGAGGGGTGGTTCTCACGGGTGGGCCGGAGCTGCAGGGCCTCCTTGAAGTACTTGGGGGGCAGGAGGCCCTTGACGTTCCCTGGCGTCAAGACCACCCCGTTGGCAGAGCGGAAGAAGGGAATTCCATCTGTGGCAGGAACCAGAGGTGGGATGTGACGCCTGCCCTCCTGGCAGGCCAGGGACAGTCCCTGCCATGTCCAGGCTCACCTGCCAAGGCGAGGGCTCCATTGATGAACACGGCCACTTCGCAGTTGGGCCGGATGCCTGCAGAGACAGCCAGAGCTGGGGCCTAGGGACCCTGGGGGCCCTGGGGCTGTGGCCAGAAATGGGGCCAGGCGAGGGTCCGCGGGTCAGTATGGAGGAGAGCTTGCAGCTGGCAGGCGGGGCAGGATGCAGGATGCAGTGGCCTTGGATGGGAGAGGGCCCAGGGAAGACAGACTGAATGGCAGCAGCTGGGAGAGGGCACTGACCACTGATGACAGCAGGGTCCCCAGGCAGTCCTGGGGCGAGGTGAATGTGTGTCCTCCCCTGGCAGGACAAGCCTTTGAGCAGGATGGATGGCCAGTGCTTCCAGAAGGTGCCGTGGACCAGTACGGGAGGCAGGGCCTGTGGCGTCTCCAGGGGAAACAGCTCCAACTCAGGGACCTGGGGGAGGAGGATGGGGAGCGATGAGCCCCTTCGAGTCAGAGGGCTCACCTGGCTCTCCCGCCCGGTCCTGGAGCCCCCACCTGCAGGGAGTGACCCTGATTGGCTCGGATGAGAGGGCCCGTGCCGGGGTCCCCTGACTGCAGGGCGAACCGCTGCTTCTGGTTGCTGTCCACCACGCGCTGCACATCTTCCTCTGAGAAACCACGGAACTGGGGCAGCTGCAGGAGGGCACGCAGGGGCACGAAGCCATCTGCGGGCAGGCGGGGTGCTCAGGGGGCTGGGCCGAGGTGACAGGGAGAGCAGAGTCGCGGGCCCTGTTCACAAGGGCCTCACCCCGTGCCTGGAGAAGATCCCTTTAGTGCTGGGGGGGAGCTACATGGGGATCCCGTCTGCTTCGTGAAGGGCCACAAAGATATAAAGGCACGTAGCACAGGGCCAGGCCCGGAGTGGAAGGCAAACCTCAGTTTGTCCAGTGGCCAGCCTTTACACGACAGTCACTGCTATGGAGTCAGTGTCAATTCATCACAACCCTGAGGGACAAGGTAGAACTGCCCCTGTGGGTCTCTGAGACTGTTAATTCTTCACAGGAGTAGAAAGCCCTATCTTTCTCCTTTGGGGGCTGCTGGTGGTTTCAAACTGCTGACCTTGTGGCTTGCAGCCTACACCACCAAGCCTCGGTGGACAACCTCGGGGTGTATTCACTGAGTTCCTTGGTGGAGGGGTATCACCAGGCACCCCCAGGCTGTGTCCTGTCTTTCTCAGAGGGCAGTGGCGGGAAGTGGGGGCAGGACAGCCAGAGGGAGGCCCACACAGTTCAGAGAGCTCTTCCTTGCCCAGCCTCAAGGGCCCTTACTTACCTGCCCCCAAGGGAAGCCCCAGCTTCAGGGCACCATGGCGCAGGACGTAGGACAGGGCCTTAGACAGTTGCACATCTCGGTCCTGAAAAAGCCCAGATGTGGTCCCCGGACTCTGTGGTGACCCAGCCACGCTGCCCACCCTGAACCGTGCTGCAGAGGGGGCAGGTCTCAGGAACAGAGTAAGCCATCTGCTCCTCACCCCACTAACACTTCCCAGGGCGCAGGGCTCCGCGTCTCCTGCCATCCCAGCGCACCTGTCCACGGGGTTGATGGGCCCTTCTAGCCCGGGCCTCGAGGGTTCCCTGCCTCCTGCTTCCACTGGGGTGCATGGTCAGGACCTGCAGGCACAGTGCTGTGTGGAAGCTGTTTGAGAGACACGCTCCCCACCCCCTCCCCTGTCCCGTGTCCTCGGCCTACCCAGAAGGTCACAAAGCGTCAGCATATAGCTCATTCACTTCCCACCCTATCCCGTGGTGCAAATAGGGAATCTGAGCCGAGCAGGCAAGACTTAACCAAGATCATACTGAGTGCCAGCCCGCAAGCCAAACCTCTGCGCTCCAGGTTCGTACCCCCGCCCCGCCACTGGCACCCGTGGCCTGTCAGGGGCAGGCGTGGACAGATGGAGCAGCTAGGAGGACCGCAGAGGCGCGCCGATCCCGCCCGCTCGGCGCCCGGACCGGCCAATGAGAGGCCGCAGAGGAAAGGGCGGGACTTCCGTTCCGGGAGGGGCGGGGCTTGCGGGATGAGTCGGCCGGAGGCGGGGACTTCCGGACCTGGGAGGGGGTGTCGACGCGGCCGGGATGGAGGCAAGGTCTTCCGGGCTTTGGGCATTTGTGGGTGACTGGACCCAAGGCTCACGGGTGGCAGGGATACCCAGGAGTCCCAGGACTCAGTGTGGCTCGGGCGGGAATGGGGGCCACCTCACTGCCCAGGGAGTGGTCAGGACCCTGTAGAGGGCCTGGAGTAACCTCAGTCGGTCTGTGCCTGCTCAGGGGAGGCTGTGGGGCCCTAGAAATAACAGGTCCTGTTGTGTCCTTCCTCAGAGCTGCCCTGTCATGGACCCCGAGGTGACCCTGCTGCTGCAGTGCCCCCGGGGTGGGCTGCCCGAGGAGCAGGTACGGGTGGAGCTGAGCCCAGCCTATGACCGCCGTCCATTGCCAGGAGGGGACGAGGCCATCGCCACTGTCTGGGAGAATCGGCTGCAGGCCCAGCCGTGGCTCTTTGATGCCCCCAAGTTCCGTCTGCACTCGGCCACCCTGGCACCCGCTGGCTCCCTGGGGCCACAGCTGTGCCTGCACCTGGGCCTCACTTCCTACCGAGACTTCCTGGGCACCAACTGGGCCAGCTCAGCTGCCTCTCTGCGGCAGCAGGGGGCCGCCGACTGGGGTGACAGGCAGGCCTACCTGGCTGACCCACTGGGAGTGGGTGCTGTGCTGGTCACTGCCGATGACTTCCTTGTCCTCCTACGACGCTCTCGGCAGGTGGCTGAGGCCCCTGAGCTGATGGATGTGCCTGGTGGGCACCCTGAACCTCAGGTGAGAGGGCAGGCAGGGTACAAACACCCAGGTAGCTCAGGTGGGGCCTTAACTGGGACCACAAAGCCTCCTTTGTCCTGAGTCAATGCAGACGACAATCCAGGGATAAGTGTTGGGTGGCCACGGAGAGGATTGCCCAGGACAACACCTTAGCCGCTCTCCTAGTCTCTATTCCAGACCCTCAGGGTACTGAGGATGACCAAAGCATAACTTAGCGCTATCGAGTCCATGCTAACTCCCAGCGACCCTCGGACAGGATGGAACTGCCCCTGTGGGTTTTCAAGACTGATTCTCTGGGAGTAGAAAGCTTCATCTTTCTCCCTGGGAGCGACTAGTGGTTTTGAACTGCTCACCTCGCTGTTAGCAGCCCAATGCATAACCACTATGCCACCACGGTACCTTGTGCTGGGAATGGCAGGGAGGTGCAAAGAAAGAGGTGCCTTACTCCACCCCTAGTCTCAATGTGGTGTCCACCACCCCGCCCTAAGCTGGATGTTTGGTTGTCCAAAAATGAGTTTGGGCCTTGGACCACCAATATTTCCACCGTGCCCACACCAGGTCTCAGGCTGGCAAGGACTGGTGGGAGCGGAGAGTGGGAGGAGGGTGGCACTGGGGTCTGAGCTTGGCCTTTTCCAGACCCTGTGCCCTGGCGACAGTCCCCGGCATGAGGACCTTCCTGGGGAGCTGGTGATGCGTGAGATCTTTTCCAGTGTCCTTCGGGAGATCTGTGATGAGGTGAATGACCTGGAGGTGGCCATGGGGGCTGGGGCATAGACCATGCCAGAATCCTATAGGCCTGGGTTGGCATCGGGGAGAGAGCTCGGCTTGGCCACTGGGCACACGGAATTGGGATTCTAGCCTAGATTTCTCTGTGCCTCTCTTTTGTTCTCCATACAGTGGAAAGGTTCTCGATGTCTCACTTACTCCACAGGTATACGGAAAGGCAGAAGTCAGAGCCCTCATTATTAAGCCACCCTTGGGGAGCCCCAAGCAAAGTACTCCATCTCCATGGGCCCTGTTTTCCCATCAGTAAAACAGACCGGCTCATGATCTGATATTCTGTGATCCTGGACATTGGATCCACAAACTGTACAGTGCTGTGCTGGGGTGAAGGGTTGGCTCTTCCCCACCCAGAGGGGTGGGCACTGACAGGTGGGACCCCTGGCCCCAGGTGAACCTGCCACTGCTCACCCTGAGCCAGCCCCAGCTGCTGGGCATCGCCTGCAACGAGACCAGCTCCGGCCGTGCCAGTGCCACATTCTTTGTGCAGTGAGTGGGCTCGGGACAGGATCCTGGGGTTGGGGGGGAGGAAGTGCCAGGGCTCCACAGGGACCCTCCAGATAAGGAGGACCCACTGAACCTCTCTCATGTCCTTATCCAGGTGTAGCCTGACTTCTGAGCAGGTGAGGGAGTACTACCTGAATGGGGGACCCGAAGCTGAGGAATCCACAGGAGTCATCTTTGTGGGGACACAGGTGCGGGTTGGCAAGCTGTACTTGGCCTGGACCAGGGTGGGGGTTAGGGCCTGCAAAGAGGCCTGGGGTTTTCCTGGAGGGCTGGGCCAGACCCGGACTCTGGGATTTATCAGGGTCTCCTGTGGGAATGCCCCCAGCCCAAGGGAGAAGACCAGGGATTTGGGGTGGATGAGGGAGCCTTGGGGTCTCCCTGGAGAGAGACAGGAGGTCTGGACGTCTGATCTCCCCACAGAATGTCCGCAGGCTGCAAGAGGCCGAGGTCTGGGCCGAGCTGTGTCCCTCAGCCAAAGGGGCCCTTCTCCTCTATACCCGGGTCCAGGACCATGCTCTCGCGGCACCAGCCCTGTCGCCCCAGCGCTGAAGACAATAAAGGCCCTTTTTCTTGGATTCCCTTGGCATCTGCTATTTCCGGGGGGAGCCAAAGGGGGCCTCTGAGAGAACCCTGGGTGGATGCGGAAGGCAGTCCAAGTAAAAGAAAAGCAGTGAACCGACCAGTCGGTGTCCCCCTATGAAAATGGGGCGAGGGGAGTGACCTTGTCAGCTTCGGTGCCGTGCAGTGGGAGGCTGCTCCGTGAAACGGGCCGCGCGGAGTCAGCTACGTCCGCCGGACGGAGCGATGACAGCTGGCTGAAAAGCCAAGCCTGGACGCTGCGGCGGCGGCGCGATGCAGACTCTCTCGCCAGCTTCCCAGGTGGGCATATGCCTGTCTGCAGGGCCACTGGCCCGGCCTTGGTGGGCGGGCCCATGGCCTCGAAGGCCAATAGGAGAATGGGGCGGGTCTTTGATTACCCCGCCCCCTCTGGCGGAATGGGCGTGGTCTTGGCGTCTAAACCAATGAAAGTTCGGGGCGGGACCTGGCTTAGAGCAGGAAATGGCCGCGGAGTCCGTGAGTGCTGCGGGGGCGGGGCTTGGCTGGAGCTCTTTCCCGCCCCTGCTCCCCCAACACCCGGGTGGGGAGAGGGTCTCGCCGGCCCAGTTGGTGGTTCAGGCTCCGAGACCCGTGCGGGGCTGGGCCCCAGACTCCTGGGTCAGAGGCGGGAACAGCTCCAGGATACGGGGCTCCGGTGGCCCCAACCGTCTCTTGGCTGCCCTGGTTGGCTTGTTTTCCAACGCAAGTAGACGGGGCCAGACCCCTTCCCCGAGCACTAGCCGCCCGGCCCATCTTGGTCCCCATGCACTCCTCTCCCCAGCTCTCCGCCCGCAGCCATGCCGCCCCTGCTGACCGCGCTGGCCCCGCGCCTGTGCCGGCTGTGGCCCCGCTGTCCCCACTCCCGGCACCTTGGAGCGGCCGCCGGGCAGCGGTGAGTCGAGCGCCCGGGGCCGGCCCGCTCACTCAGTGGGTTTTTGCCGGGAGTCCCGCCCATGCACTCAGACAGCATGGTGCCCCCCACTCACTGTGTGCCTGGTGCCCCACGGGCCGCTCGCGGGTAGCCCTCACCTTCACTGCTGAGGACACAGGATCGGAAGTGAAGGCATGCTCCCAAGGTCATGCAGCGGGTTAAGCGGTGGCCCCGAAATTGAGCCCCGGTATTGTTCAGTCCAGAGGGGCTCAGTCACCACTGCACAGAGGCTGGAGTTTCTGACGTGGAGGATAAGGTGGAATTTAGCGTTTCCAATACAAGGGGCTCCGGGACTCCACTCTGAGAAGACCTGGTCACCACTCAAGGAGGGCAGAGGGTTCGAGGCGGGATTTGCGTTGAGTCCTGGCTCCACCCCGCACCCACCAGGATCCAGGGTTGGGGTCTACAAAGAGGCCTGGTGTCCACTTTGGGGGAGTTGGGCCTGGTAGGGACCCACAGATGTCACAGTCTTTTCTCCAGTCACAGGGTCTCATGTAGGGGTGTCCTCGGCACCCAAGAGAGGACCTGCTAGTCCAGATCTGAAGAGGGACCTTAGGTCTGGGTGTCTGGGTCAGCCTGCCCAGCCTAGGTGTCCTCGGCACCCAAGAGAGGACCTGCTAGTCCAGATCTGAAGAGGGACCTTAAGTCTGGGTGTCTGGGTCAGCCTGCCCAGCCTAGCTGCCGTGTGGGTGTGGCTCTCAGAGGAGAGGGCGGGCTATCCTCGGTCTCCTTCAACCCGGAGGTTGCGATTTCCATTGGGGCCTCTCTGCAGGTCTGGTCCCAGGAACTACTATGAACTGTTGGGAGTGCAACCTGGAGCCAGCCCTGAAGAAATTAAACGTGCGTTCTTCACCAAGTCCAAAGAGGTACCCTTGCCAGATGGGGATGTAGGTGCCCCAAGTTCCCAGGAATAGAGGGGGGTACAGCTGTGGCCTCATAGTGCCACACTCCCTAAGCCTGCAAGGCGGGCCATCTGGGCCAGGTGGGAGGAAAGGTTGGGGCCAGAGGCAGGGGTCCTGCCTGAGGGGCTGGGCCTGGCTCTCTGGATAGAGAATTCCCGGCAAGGAAGGCTTGGATCAGGCCTGTGGTTAGAGCAGGGACGGGTGGGGCAGGGGGTCTGTTTCCTAAATTTGAGGGTCGCTGTATGGCCAGGGTCTTTGGGAGTTACTTGAACCTTGGTGGGTGGCCCTAGTCGAGATAGATCACAGGAGAAAGAGACAGGGGAGCCCTGTCCCACACCAGCTGCACCCCGACCGGGACCCCAGGAACCCAGCGCTGCACAGCCGCTTTGTGGAGCTGAATGAGGCCTACCACGTGCTCAGCCACAAGCAGAGCCGCTGCAGCTACGACCACCAGCTCCGCTCAGCCAGGCCCCCAGAGTCTCCGGGAACTGCACCTCACCCCGGCCCCACAACTGCCCACCAAGCATACAGGTACAGCGAACTCTCCCAGCACATCCCCCTGCCCCCAAGTCTTCTGGGGAGCTTTGTGCCGATACCACCCCTCCCTCTCTCCCAGCAGCTCCTGGGAACCTCCCAACACACAGTACTGGGCCCAATTCCACCATGTAAGGACAAAGTGGCCTGAGGGGAGCAGGCAGCAACAAAGACACAACCAGCGAGTGCTGGGCTACTGCCTCTTGTTGATGCTGGCAGGCATGGGCCTGCACTACGTGGCTTTCAGGTGCACCCCGCTGACCCCCTGGGGAGTAGGGCATCGGCAGAGGGATGAGGGAGACTGTGAGCTCAGCACGCCAGCCTCACTGCCCCCCATGGCCCAGGCTTGTGCACCTTAAACTCAGGACTTAATGCAAGCCTATCCCTGGAGCCTCTTCTAACAACGTCACTCTGTGTCCTTCATATTTTTTGTCACCAGCTGCCTGGCAGGACTGGAGTAAACCACAACAGTGACCAGGAAGCAAATTCGTTTTCCCTGGGCCTCACTAACACTGCCCTCTCGCTCTTGACGTCGGCGGGCTCCACCCCAGGGTGGCTGGGACCCTGCCAGCCATTCCCCACAGCAAAGATACCCCACAGCCCATTCCATGGTCAACAGGCTGCCCGGTTCAGGGATAAGGTTAGATGGACAACCATTTTTAGTCCTGCAGGGATCACTGGCATGACCGGACTGACAGTGAGCAGGTCAGCTAGTGACCTGGGTCTCTGGACAAGCCGTGGCCCACCCTTTGCCACCTACTGGAGGCATGGTTCAGCTGAGGTCACACCTGTGTGAAACTGAGCCTGGGATGGGGTCGAAGGGAGTGAGATTTGAGGAACCCAGGGGGAATAGTCAAGCCCTGGGCTGCTAGCTAACCACCAGGTCCGAAGTTCCAACACCACCCGGTGCTTCTGGGGCTAAATAGGAGGCTTTCTACTCCGCTAAACAGTTACAGTCCTCCCGGAGGCCATTCCACCCTGGAATCCACTCCATGCCAGTGGATTTGGTTTTGCAGGAAGCTGGAGCAGATGCACCGGAACTTCATGGATGAAAAGGACCGGATCATCACTGCCATCTACAACGACACCAGGGCCCGGGCCAGGTCTGTCTCTCTTCTCGCTGTCCCCCCACTGTCCTGGCACCGCCCTCCCAGGCCCCTGCCCCAGCCAACAGGCCTATCTTCTCAGAGCCAACAGCACCAGGCTCCAGCAGGGACGACTGCAGACCACCACGAGGACGACCTCACCGCCGCCAGAGCCCCGCGAGGACCCTGCCATCTTGCCCACCCGTGCGGACCCCTGAAGAGCCTCCCAGGGACAAGGTCCAGGCCTACGGCATGCCCTCTCCTCGCCTCCCTCCCATTGCGCCCCACCCGCAGAACGCACACAATAAAGCCCTTTTCTGCCCTCCGGTCCGGTTCCCTAACTCTTCTAGCCCGTGCCCCCGGCCAGGCCTCTTGAAACCCCTGGAGCCCGGCCCCCTGGGCGGCGCGTCCTCCCTCCCGGGCGCGGCG